AAACTCTAGAAATTTATAAAAGTTTTTAAGTGTGTTAACAGTTATTTTTAATTTTTGTTGTACCTACGTACAAATGTATTTTATTTTAAAACAATGGATTTTATATTACGTTATTTACGTGTTTACTATCTGCAACATTTAATTTCGGTTAAAATAACAATAACTTTGAGGTCCCAATGTTACGATTTTTTTTTGTTAATACGCTTCAATGACACAAGTAGGGGTTCTATGAAAAAAACAGACTGTAAAGGAGCATATCAAAAAGTTTAAGGAATATGTACGAAACGTATTCTAACACCACTTTCTCGCTGGCTTTGTTTTTAGCTTTAATAAAGCACCTTTCTTTTCAAAATTTTCTTGCAAGCATTCTGCACCTGTATTAGATACAATAGAATGAGGTTGATTGTGTATGTTGCCTTATCTTTTAAACCTGGTATGTTTTTCATCCACACATTTCCGTACTGCTACTAAACATGCTCAGTTTTCAAATGTGGTATAGTTGGAACGTTCAAAATTGGCATAATCCACAATAAAACTGTCAAAGTTACAAACACAATAATTATTTTTACTGACGACAGACGTTGTAGGGAATATCGTAAACATAGAGATGTCAGGTAGGTATTGCAGCGGAAACTAACAAAGAAAAAGAAATAATACACCAATTGATGTGTAATAGAAAGAGATATAGACTTTAAAGATAGTTCAATATTCTCAGGAAGTTAGGAAAGCAAGGACGCAAGAACGACCTTATTCACGGTTTCCTTTTTTGAGATTTCATTATTCACGGGTGAAAAAATTGCAACCCAGTTCCTGTATTCGCTGCTAAAATTCCTGTATTCGCTGCTAAAATTTCATTATTCGCGGATGTAACCGGTAAACAGAAAAGGATTAGGTGTCATTTATTAAGGGGATTGACCGCAGTAGACCGCTCGTGCCCAGTATAAATTTTTCCGAAAACATGGATTTCTATTCTAAACATTTTGATTTAACGCTGCGAGATAAATATGTGATTTTTTCTATAGTAACAGACAAAGGCTCACACTAACTCGGTACGTTCTTTTTTAAACTCTTGTCTAAAAGTGATTATAACTATTAATTTTAATTGCGAATTTCTCAATAAATTGATTTTATTCTGATACATATTGCTTTTCTTTTGGAACTTTAGAACGTATCCCCTATGATTCCATACTAATTACCATTCCATATCCACGGTTTCTGTATTCGCGGCATATTTATGGAACGCATACCCCGCTTATAAAGAGCTTTTACTGTACATATAATTCCAATCAGGCAGTTATAATGGTAGTCCTGATTTTCTGTGTACCTTAGTAACCTCTAACTACTGCACCACTTACTATTATTCGGTTATCTCTTTTCACTTTGTCTTTACTACTCATGTAGCATTTCCTAACTTAACAAGAGTGAGTTCATAACGCAGTAAATGACTACAGTCCCAAGTGGAAACAAGAAAGAAGATACGTCCATTCTTACAGATAGTTTGTTGCGGATTGTGCCAATTTTGATCGTCTCAGATATAGACTGTTTCGCTACAGAAAATTGAAGTTTCATTACGGAGCTCCGGCTCATGCTTTTACATAATTAGTTTCATTTGAGTTGCTTAATACTGTCAAAAATAAAGTTTTCTACTAACAATTAGTACGTGTAACTATTGGGGGAAAAGTCTATTTCATACAACAAAATAATTTTAAATTCCTATAAACTTTTTCTTTTTATTAATATTTTTTTGTGTTTCGCGAGTGGGTACCTATATCTGTAAGGTGAACGTACTCAGACAACTCACCTCGTTGTATGTACCTACATATATGTAATGTACGTAATTTCATTCATGAACCTGTTCGACTGAACAGATTGATTACATGTAAGATGCATTCGTGGTAGTGCTTAAGTGGGACATGCGTATATACAGTTATTTTATGAGCATGTGTGCGTGTAGATATATATGTACAAACCTAATAAAATCTGATTTCAAAATAGTAACAGTCTGGTAGCCCGACCCTGACGATGAGACATGGCTGACGTCTCGGAAACGGTTATTTCTGAATGTACGGAATATGTTTGTATGCGTTTTTATATGATTAAGGGATGTCCCACACTGACGCGAAACGTTGGCGTTGTGAACGCGATTTTTTCATGACAAATGGTATATTGTATTGTATCAATAGGGATACACTATGTATACATGATATAGGATGGCTGACTATGCATGGAAACTTGTGGAGTATTCTTTAGTGTCTTTTGTATAATTATTAATAAAATAATTAATAAAACACTATTTAAACAATTAACCAAAAATTTATACGTGCCAACAACAAATTAAACAACAAAACAAACAGATGGTAAAAATAAAAC